GGCAGGGAGGGGTGCAGAAGGAGGGCAAGGATTTTACAGATGGCAGCCCAGGAGCAGGGAGGCTGTGGGGAGGAAGAAGGCCTACCTGAAGTAGGGCAACTTCTTTGACCAGGAGCAGGGTTAGGGAGCTAGGACAGAGTGTAGAGGGATGTGATGACAGACTCAAGCAGTACCATAAGCTGCAGCTGTTTGTGGAGGGAGTCCAAGTGCTCACAAGCAAAATTAATCTCACAAATATCTCCATGAGCTCCTAAGCAGCTATCTTTTCGAAGTTCTTCATTGAAGCCCTTTATGGGCTTTTATAGAAGACAATTTCATGTTTAAAAAGATGCTGGGGGTATAGCTCATTGGTAGAGTACTTGCCCAGCATACAAAATGTCCTAGAGTTTGATCCCCATGACTATGAAATCCTACTACTAATAATTATTATTATAATAAACAAGTAAGATATGATTTAGAAAGATATTTTATTAAAATGCTATTCAACAGATATTGACCATCTCTACTCTGTGGCAGAGGAAAAACACAAATGAAGAAAAATGTTGACAGAAAGGTAAACTCCAGGTTGCCCTCCTGGGTCTGTCACTAGCCAACAGTGGAGCTGAGAAAATACCACAAACTGGGCCAGTCTTCTCACCTCCAAAATTAGATCAATGAGGTTCCATGTGGCTTGCACAATGAATTCCTCTTTGAGACAAGATCAAGTCTCTCAAGGAGCCTGACATCCAAGTAAGGAGCAGGGATCAGAAACGGCCTGTAGGCATCCATTTACAAAGGCTGATGGGAAATCCCCAGAAATTCTTGACATCCCCCCCACATCCGCTTAGCAGCAATGCAGGAAATCTAGTCCACTATCTTCGGCAGACTCAGTGGAACCATTTCCTTAATGAAACCCCCCAACAGTGCTGTGTGCTAAGTTGGAGGCATCTTTCAAGCCTTCCCTCAAATACCTCATTCCTCCTGTTTCCTTCCCTTCCTTCAATCTGGTGTGAAGTCCAGCAGTTTAATCAGCAGCATGCAATTTCCAAGGTACCCACTGCACACCACCTCCAAGTCAGTCCTGGAAAGCATCTGGCAGGATCTGGTCACTCCTCACAAACCTCTCCAACAGAATGAAGCCAGTGGAACAGGAGGGTCTGTTCTGTTCAGTTTAACCCAGTGCAAAGATGTTTTTATGTTTTTAGTCACTCTTAGTACTATGTGTTTACTTTAAAAAAAAAAGCCTGGTATGATGTTTAAATATTGCCTCCCCTGTGCACAAAGTCAAACGGTATCTACTTGCAATCCTCCCACACCCCTGGGGCACAGAACTGAAGCAAGAGCTTTGCTTACCTGTTCCTAATACCATCAACAGCCTTTGCATTTAACACTCAACTGCTAATATAGCCTCCTGCACTTTCCCTCCATTCTAAGGCCCACTCTCACACACATCAATTTAAAGCACTGAAAAAAACTTTTATTCTATTATTTGTTCCCTCTTTGTACAACTGCCCAAGCCAGGATAAAGATCAGCCATGATTTTGCCGTGTTATACTGTATAATCTCCCTCAAGGGTATCACATTTTTGTCAACATAAAGCCATGTTTTGCAATATATGATTTCCACCTCTATATTATATATACTCAAAAGTTTAGAAATGTTTCAATAGTTTGGGAGAAAAAAGTAATTTTTTTTTAAAGAAATCACAAAAAGTAGGTTCAATTTTTAAATAAGAGGTTTAGTAGTCTTATTGCAATCTGGAACAGTTTTAGAACATAGATATTTTTTGATTAAATAAATGTTAACTTAAAAAAAAGTCAAGAAACATATAGAGGAGTAAAGAGACTGGTATCCTCAGAAAAGTTAATGTAGCTAAAGTCTGTGCCATGGTTACACATTCTGCTGGTGAAATGAAAAAGGCCCAAGATAATGATCTAGTGGTTGAGGCAGCCTCCCTCAGACCATCACTTGCAAAAGGCAGCCCACTAAAGACCAAGTTAATTGGTTGGTCTGGTGCATTGTACTAGAGGAACAGAAAGTGCAGTGTGATCCGGGATAGGAAAGTCAGGTTCATCCAACCACAGCCTCAGGTGACTTAGCATCCACCCAACATGTATAAGGATGGTGGGGAGACAGAGAAGAGGAGGACTCTGTTCAATTTGTTTCTTGAAATTGTTCATTGGATGTTAGAGTTGGAAAAGGGCTTTGGAAATCAACCATCTTTTCTAATTTCTACATTTTACATACAAGAAAAATTTCACCTGCTAATTAGAAAAGGAATTTAGCCTAGTACAGAATTTTCAATAAGAAAAACAAACACTGCATTATAAAATGTTTTGAAAAACTAGATGATTACCTACAGTTTATCTGCAACATGATTAATTGGTTAGAACACAATGTGTACCAACAGGGATCCTAAATAATAATCCATTATCATTTAAAATATGCAATTTTGGAAAAACATGAATTCATAAATGTCAGAGAAAACAAAAATTGCTGTGTAAAATATGCTTTAATATGAGAAATGCATTGCATTCAATTTGGGAATAGGTATTCTGATTTAGTGAGAGAGACTTCTTATGAAGTTCAGACTGGCTTTGCAACACAGCCCATGCCTATGCTTGGCTAGAACTCACTCTCCCTCTGCCTGAGGTCTCTGAGTGCTGGGAATCACAGACACGGACCTCACACCTGGCTGGTATCATTTTTATAATATTGATTGTAACAGATTTATTTTGTGAATATTCCTTTAAAAATTCACAATTTAAGTATATTTAATTAGTTCTATCAAATTGTAAATGTCAGCTGCTCAAGAACTCAAGAAAAAAAAACGGGAGAAACAGAAAGATGGTGGCTTTAATCAAGGGTGTGGTGCCTTCAACTGCAAGGAGACAGAGCTGGAGTTGATAACTTTCATAAGGAAAGTGATCACAATACAGAGAGAACATGAAAGTATCTGAATTGTGGGTATCCTTTGAATTTTCCTGAAGAGTAAATCTACTCTTCAGAGAGGGAAATGCATTATCTCCTTGTATTACTGAACCTCTGGTTATTTTCATTGTGTGTGTGTGTGTGCGTGTGTGTGCGCGCACGCGCGCGCACACACACACACACAGAGGCACACTCCATAGGTACTCAGGTTATAGTACCTGATGGGGCTCCGTCCCTAGCTTGCCAGGGGATCAAGCCCTCCTTCTAGATAGAGGAATGCATTCTTTTTACCTCCAGTACACCTCCTCCTTGGATTGAAAAGCTCTGGCACGATTTAGAAAGTAGCTGATGATTTGAAGGATGTAACCCAGAGAAGGCAGGGTTTGCAATGATGTACTTGGCAGGCAAAAGGATGTTCCCAGTCAGCAGGCTAAAGGTATTTACACCTTGTTTGGCTCTGTTTGTCTGTCTTCCCACAGCATGAGAAAAGCTTTTTCTTAATCAGAAAAAGTTCTGAGATTTCTAATCCATGAATAAATTACAATCTAACACAAATCACAGAGGTTCTCTTTCACATTTCTGAATAGTTTCCACAGATCTACCACATTCTTAAACAGAAATAAAACTATGCTTCACTAAACCAACTATGTTTTAAAAATAAGTATTTAAAAACAAGTTTTAGAAAAATAAAAACACATGTATGAAGCAGAAAATCCAACAAAACGTGCTTTTCCCTCCGTATTTTGGGGGTTCACAGTAATTTTTTTTTTACCTAACTTTGCCTTTACATAACAGACCGATGAAGTATTTAAACTCTGTAAGCAATATATTTCACATAGTTTTTCAAAACAAAAAGGTGCTTATGAAATTGAAAATACAACATTTCATTTAATATCGTTATTTTAATACTTCCCCAACCTATGTCGAGTTCTCAGACTTGAACTTTGCTCTCTCAATCTCTACTTTAGAAATAAGAGTCTAATCGTCACATCCAAAAAGTTAATTTTCACTGCCTTAAAAAAATATGTTTAACCTTACAGACTTTCCTTCCCGGGAACATCACACTCTTACGTTAATTTTATTTTATATTCTCTTTTCCCACGTTGTATGAAAGAAAGGCGCGCTCCAATATCTAGCTGTCTGCGCTAGGGACCGCACCAGAGGCGTCCACCACTCTGGTCTATTGCCGGGGACTTGGAGTCGGAACTCCGGAGTGCCCTCCGGCTTTGACCTCTTCGCTGCTCGTAAAATCTGGGGACCCCTGACCTGGTCCACTGCCTGTTTTCCTACCCCCAGGCTGATTTAGGAGGCGAGCGTACCCGCCAATTCCTCTTTTAGTTCATATGATCAGCTCTTCTAGATTCAAAACTTGAAGGCTAGGCTTAGAATCCCGAAACTTGACGATATGGGCCCTCGGCTGCCTTGGCCAATTTGGGTCACTCACGACGATGACCTGTGCACCCCGCCTGCTCCCGTAGAGGCCCCATCCGGGTGACTACGCTCAGCGATCTGCCGCGCGCTCCCCGAGTTTTACCCGGACGGTGCCAGGTGGGTGCGGGAATCAGAGCCGGCCCTCTTCTGGGCCTCTATCTGTTCGCCGAAGGCACGCGACCCTCCCCAAATTTGTTCTCCTCCGCTCTGGTGGCGCGAGGTCGTGGACAGTGACCATCAACGCTGACGCCCGCCTCTGTCCAGCCCTGGCAGCCTTTCCTAAGACGCTCCTAGAGCGCCCGTGACTCTGGGTGCCAGGCAGGTCCGCGTGTGCGGTGAGTCGGGTACCCAGAGTCTAGGGAGCGAGACCCTACCCGGAGCCAAGAAGAGAACCTGCGACTCCCGCCGCAACCCGCAACCCAGCCCTGACCCGGCCGCGGCGCCAAGGGGAGTCAGAGTCGTGATGCCCACGGCCCCGGGCCAATCATTCCCCGAAGCGCCCACTCCGGGGGGAAAAAAAAGTGCAGTGGGCCCAGGCGTGCCGGCTGCAACAAGTGTCCCTGGCTCCCGCCGAAGCGCGCGTTCCTGGCTGCAGCCTCGCTCCCCGCGCGCACCCCCCAGCCGCCCATCCCCGCCCGGCTCCGGCCGCGGCTCCTCACCTGTGAGAAGCAGGCATCCGAGCAGCGCGGACCGCAGGACCACGGAGTCCCAGCAGCTGACCATGGTGAGCGCGACGCGGCCTGCTGGCCCGGTGCCCGCGCTCCCCGAGGCCGATCACCCAGCCGCCCGCGCTGGTCCGCTTGCACTCCAGCTAGCTGGGCGAGAGCCCTTCTCCGCCGCTCCAGCCGGGAGCTGACCTCTTCCCCGGGGTAATCCTGGCCGCCCGGCGCCCACTGGCCGCTGCGCTTGAGCCCCGGAGCCCGCTCCGAGCAGCCGCCGCCGGGGAGGAGTCGCCACGAGTGTCCGGTCGCTCGCGCTCCGAGCCTCCAGCGGACCTCGATTAAGAGCAGCCGTGGGCGGGGGCGATTTATAACCTTTCCCCAGCCCACTTCCTACCCGGGCACCTCCTTCCAGTGACGTCAAGGGGTCCCCCACCCCTCATCCGCCTCCCCACCTACCCTCTTCTTCCTCCCCGGCTCGCTTCCCTTGGCCCTGGAGGGGGGCGGGGGCCGGCGAGGGCGGGTGGCGGCAGCTGAGAGCGCGTGCGGAGGCGCTGGCGGTGTGGGCTCCAGAGCTGGGGCTGGGCAGGTTCAGGGTCCTCGCTCCATGCCCTCCTGCCCGCGCCCTTGCTGCCCATCGCGCTCAGGAAATCCTCGCCGGCTCCCTCCACCAGGCTTACTCAGCTCTGGGGGCCACCCGAAACTGGGGAGAAGACGGGTCTGGAGGCGCACCGCCCTGCCCCGGGGGCGGGAAGTCTTATCCACGGGAAGCTGACCGCGCCTCTGCGACGGTGTCCCTGGCACTGAGGAACCAGGCGCAATCCGGCCCTCTTCTCTTGCCTGCTCTTTCCGCGCTGTCCCGTCGGCCCCTGACCCCGCCAGATTGTTCCAACACATCTAGGAAGGCGCCAGAGACCCACTGCAGAAGGCGCTCGGACCAGGAGCGTCCGAGGGAACGAGACGCTTGATTGGCACCTTCGGGAAGAGTGCGGAGCGCTCAGGTCTCAAGGGAGGGCGTCTGTGTCTTTTTCGTCTGTATTAATGCACCCGCCCAAGTTATTTCCTCAACCCTCTGCTTCCTAGAAGCAAAACAAGGAATAACATGATACCTTTTTAAAAAGCCGAGGCGTGAAACCGCTCTTGCAACTTGTAAGGGCCAATCACTTGAACTTTATTTCTAAAATGCTGGAAAAAGAAATCTTTTTGGTGGCAGCTTCTATGCAACATGACTACTCTGCTGCTGTTGGAACAAAACCGGGTGAAATTAACTCAAGGCACTAGATCCTTACGATGACAGTAATTCCACGTTGTTCCTCAATTATGTATCCATTAACTCAAAGACTGAAATCGCCCTAGCCTCCACGGAGCAGCCCAGTCTTGTTCCTGTAAATACTGCAGGTTTCAAAAATGGTTCTATTGAAACCTGCCAGTTGGCCATGATAAATGGGATCAGCGACTTTTCCTGAAGTACTAGACAGAATCTCTTCCTGAGAAGGTGGAGCAAGAAGAGTTGCCACATCTCGGTGCGGCTCAGCCGGGGAGTTTGAGCCACCGCGACCTGAAGCTCCACACAGGCAGCGCGCAGCCGGGTACCGGGGGCAGCAAAAACAGAGCCAAGTGTCTTTCTCCCGCGCGTCTAGGAGGGAAGAAGAACGCCGAAAGCTACAGCTCACTTGCAGGCTTCCCCTTCCCTTTCTGATTCTCGCTTTGCAGTTCCTTAGGCCTGCCCCCAGAGCCTCTGGTTGCCCTAAAACCAAGAATCATCCAAAGAATGGCCAGCACCAGGTAGCGATCCCTCTGTCAACTGAATCCCCAACCCTAGACAGTTTGGGACACACACGCAGATTCAAATTGCCCCTCTGCCTCTCCACGGAGGTGCAGGTCACTCCCACAGACTCCCATGCAGCTGCAGGCGTTAGGGCCGGGGTGAGGGGAGTGTGCCAATGAAAATCCACCATTGCTGCAGTCTAGAGGTGCTTGGGATGTGGCGAGCAGGCTGACAAACCAAGAGGCCAAGGCTATGATAACTAGACACCGTTTTGCAATGCAGGAGGTGTGTGGCACCTCATGGGCATAGAGAACAACCATGGTCACCTAAGGGAAGACTAAGGAAGGCCACTCAGAGAAGGGACACCGCTGTTGTAGGGAGGCTTCCCATGTACAGCCCTCAAAGGTCGACTTTAATACATTGTTTTCAAAAGGCATTTTGATTCTTTAAAATACTCAGACACTCCCAAACCTGCTGGCAGAAATAATACTACATTGAGTTATGAAGCCAGAACAGGTATTTGATGGACAGCTGAAACAATCTATAATCTAAGATACTCATCAACAGTGCTAAAATACTGCTCAATTATCTAAGGCTAATAGAGTCATAATTGAATCTAACTTAGATTTGCACAAAAACCATGCTGCAGTTGTGGTCCTCCACAAATTCCCCATTATTCTTTTGAAAGGTTGAAGATTTTTTTTTATTATAGTCAGCAATTTCTTCACTGTTTCTTTTGTGGATTGGATTGCATTAGCTTTGTATAAAGAATTTTAAAATGGTACAAATTGTTATGAGGTTGTTTCGTTAGTGACTTCAATTTCACTTCAATATGGAGAACAAAGGTATAATTCTCAGGCATTTCACTGAAAGAGATAATACCTTTGAATAATGGGCTACAAGACCCTTCTAACTAAATCACTCATGAAAGAGGTTTTATAGATAATACTGATGGAAAAGATCAAATTCAATATGCCTGGTGAGTATGAAAAGCTACTAAAGTAGACTATCTGCTTGCTTCCTGCCCACATACAAAAGAACATTTCATCTCCTGTTTGGTTAGCAGAACCAGACACTCTCTCCTGTTATCAGCTACAAACATTCTCTTGAGGTTTTTTCTTGCTCCTATTCAGGAACATGCTGTTAGTACAGCCAACAGCTTAAATATTCAAGACTGAGTAACAGTGGTGGATCATCAATAAGATTGATAGGAGGGATCCCAGAGCTGAGCTTCCCACAATAAACCAAGCCTAGAGTGGCTATGCTTAGTGTAGTTGAAGAAAAGTCTATATGGCTATACGGTACACAGCACAAATCTATGAGCTTGTTTACAAGAAGCATATGATCTTCTTAAATCTTTACGAATTATTTGGGGGGAACCCCTTAGCTGTGCCAACACATCTTTAATCCTGACACTTGGGAGCCAGAGGCAGGTGGATCTCTGTGAGATCAAGGCCAACCTCGTCTACATAGTGAGTTCCAGGTCAGGTGGGACTACAGGAAGACCCTGTCTCAAAATATCATTAACAAAACAAAACAAAAACCTCATATGACATCTCCTTGGGGCATGTTGGTCTAAGAGAGACTCGTTGGTCTAAGAACATTCTCCCATATCTCTGGTAGGAAGCTGTGGTGAGTGTTCCAGGCCAGGAACATTATGATTTTATTGATCAGAATCTAATCAACCCACTAGAACAAAAGTCTTGCTTATTTCAGCCACCCAAGTGCTAAAGGTATGGTTCAGTAGTAAAACACTTTATGCCAAATATGCACAGAGCTCTGGATTTGATTCTTAGCACAGAGGAGCTGCTCTACTCCTCTGTGGAACTGATTCTGGGACTTCTACTATAACTTCTTCTCCATAGCTCCATGTGAAAGTTTATGGAACACTCAGAAATGTGTCTTTATCTCCAGGCTCCCTATCTATGTCTCTTTTATCACTGCTCAAATGATGTGTTCTAGAAATTTCTTCCAGTTTCCCTCAAAAGGTTCAGTCTTTACAAAAATATATATATATTTATTTTTATTTTATTTTAATGTATTTATTTTGGTCTTTTTGAGACAGGGTCTCCCTGTAGCTCACTATGTGGACCAGGCTGGCCTCAAACTCACAGAAATCTGCCTGCCTCTGCCTCCCGAGTGCTGGGACTAAAGGCGTGCGTTATTTTTATTTTATATGCATGAGTGTTTCGCCTGCCTGCAGGTATGCAAATTCATCACATGCATGCAGTTCCCACAGATGCCAAAAGAGGGTGCCGGATTCCCTTGAACTGGAGTTATAGACTAGTATTATGTGGGTGCTGGGAACCAAAACTAGGTCCTCTGCCAGTGCAGTCAGTGCTCTTAATTGCTGAGCCATCTCTTTGGCCCTGGAAGTTTCAGTCTTATTAGTATGCCTGCAGTAATATATTCAGGGTTGAATAAATACCATGACTGTTATTATTCTCCTAAAGTAAAGGTTATGTTTTGTTTTCATTTCTTAGGGTCTCACTGTACAGCCCTGGCTTGTCTGGAACTCCCAATATTGACCAGGCTGACCTCAAACTCACAGAGATCCCCCTCCCTCTGTTTCTTGATTGTTGGGTTTTAATTTTGTGTACATGTGTATGTTAAGGGGAATGTGCACATATGAGTACAGGTGCCTATGGAAAGTGTTTTTCTCCCAGGCAAGGAGTTTCAGATGGACAGTGCCCTGGGTAGACCAGAGCTCAGGGAAATGAGCAGCCAGAGCCTCCAGGCGCATGCACAGCATTGACTTCTACCCATGCTGCTCAGGGGTCAGAGGCCCATGACACCCTCACTCCTGTATAGAAGCTTCATAGGTTCCTACTTTCCTAGGTTGTTTCTGCTGCTATTGATAAGATCTCTGGACTTACTCGGGGCTCTGGCTACCCTTTGATGCTGCTTGTCCAGCTCTGGACTCCCAGTTGGCTCTGCTTCCTCCCAGGGGCCATGGAAGGCCTACTGTACTTGTGTCACTGCAACCTGAGATCAAGGCAGCCTGCATGACTCATTACAGACCCTTATCCACACATTCCCACCACACTCCTTGCTTCATTTAGCTCATCCACTGGCCTGCTGAAATCTTTTGGCCTCTTCTTCACCATTCAGTAAATTTCTATGCCTCTTGCTGCTAATTAGCCATAAATAGGATAATGTGTCTCCTGGATCATCATCAAAACCACAGACTAGTTACTTAATACTCCCGTACTTAATACTCCACATGTAATAAACTTTGTGTTTTCTTCTTTTACAATCATGAAGTAGGACAGAGATGAATGGGTTAAAGAGAGAGTAAATGAATGAAAGGAGAGGTCTGTGGAAGTTACGTAAACCATGGAAGGGAGATAATTCTGTTGTGTCATTATCCTTAGATACATGTTCACCAAATCAGGCTGCACCTAAACTCATCAACAGACACAATGTCACTGTTCAGTAATAAGACTTAGCAAGAGGGACTAGAACAACAGGATTTACTCAAGGCCTTCTAAGAAAGAAAAATCAGAACCGAACGCTTAGGAAGATAGTGACGTGAATAAAGCGCCAAACGGCACAAGTAATCCCTAAAGAAGAATCAACTCAGAAACGTGCTTGACAGTTATCTAATCACTGCCATTAACCATCTCCCTCAGGACTTCATCTAGCACTTAATTGCCAGCCCTTGTCTTTATTTTCTTTGTATTTTATCACTTCAAATATACTCTTTTAGTTTGAGACACAGCACTGTAAAAAGATGAAAAGATGGGCTGGGCTGGAGGATGTCATAATTCCATCCTGACAACAGAGTCACAGTGGTCACTTTGGGGCATTTTATGGTAGTACTGTTCACATAGAGGTCTGCATTTCATTTTTTAAAAGTATTTATTTTTGAGTATGGGTGCATTTCATTTTTTAAAAGTATTTATTTTTGAGTGTGGGTGCCCACAGAGGCCAGAGAGGGTGTAGGATTGCCTGGAGTCGGAGTTACAAGTAGTTATAAGCCACCCCACATGGGTACTGAGAAGCCAGCTCAAGTCCTCGGGAAAGCAGCAAATGCTCTGAATCTCGGAGCCATCTCTCCAACCCCTGTATATCATTTTTCTATAGCACAATCATGACTCTCTTATCCATCTGCTACAACATACTAGCCTATTGCTAGAAATTCCAAGTTCTGTATTACTCAAAATAAGTTGAATTTGTTTGTAGGATGTTAGTTGGGCAGAACCTCTATCCTCAAGGGTCTTGATTTACTTAAAACTTCCACCAGCTCAGTGTAACAGGGCCCTGGCCGAGCAATCAGAAGAAAATGGCTCATGTCATGGTATGTGATCCAGGAAATATACTCTTTTATTTAACATTCACTAAAGAAGTATTTCTTGAGCACACGCCCTATACACAATGCTGCGCTAGTCCGATTGAAATAGTAACAGGGAAGATATAATTATTGCCCTAAAAGACCTTACAATAAATTTAAGAAGGTCAGACTTACATGAAACATTAGGAAACAATTCTAAGACAATTAAAAGCAAGATACAGTCATAAGTCCTAAAGGCTTATTCATTACTAAATCGGGAAAAGATTTTGAAGGTAGTAACAGATTTATATCAGCAGAGTAAAGGCATTCTGGAAAGAGGAAAGGGAATAAAAGCACTGACTATGGGAGGAAGAGTTTGTCGGGAGGGAGATAGCAGTTAAAGATGGAAGGTGTCAGGGTGGGGGTGAAGTCTCTGTAGACAGGCTGAGGGGCCTTTAAGGTGTTTCATGTTATCAGTGCCAATGTAACTGAAGTAAAGGAAATACTGTGAGGAAATACACTTCTGAACAGATCATGAAGAAGCACAGGATATCGTGGCACTGTGGCAGGCAGTAGGGGATACAGAGTGGCTCCAGTCTGTGGTTTAGAGAAGGAGTGGTTGGAGTCAGTGAACCCTGGGGTAGAGGAGAGGGGAGGGGAGATCTGTGAGAACTCCAGAGTCCCAAGCTATTAGGGGTAGGGGTTTGAAAGGTAGAGAGGAGAAGGGGCAACTGAAAGCAACCTACTCCATCTGCTTGCCGTAACAAGGCAGAATTTAAGAGAATAGTATGGCTCAGGTAAAAATACTGTAAGGGACCAGAATTTTAACAGATTGCTGTATCCTAATCCAGGATGTATTTAAATATATACAAGATAGATGATAGATAGATGATAGATAGATAGATAGATAGATAGATAGATAGATAGATAGATAGATGATAGATGATAGAAAGATAGGAGATGGATGGGTAGATAGATGGTGATAGATCATACAGATGATAGAGACAGATGAATGGAGTTGGAAGACAGGTAGGGTCATGGATAGATGGTGTTTATATAATGGCTGCCTTACTCTAAGAAGTTTATTAAAAGCAGAGTTTAAATGAATAATATGGTTTTACTGTCTACCTCTGAGTAGGGAAGGGTGGCTAGCAATGTTCTCTTTAGCCTTCTTCAAAAGTTCCCCGAAATTCAGACACACCCTCAGGGCAGGCTTGCTGGCCATTCAGTGAAAGACCAGCGCTTTCCTTCCTGCAACTCTTCCAGGCTCCTCCTAGTAGACTTTTTGAGAGTGATTGCAAAGGCTGTGGCACAAGTCCGGTGGAGTCCAGCTGCACACTGCCTGCCTGCTGGGCCATCCACCACAGACCCTGGGCCCTCGGCAGCCTCAGGTGCAATTCCAGACTGCCGATATTTGTAAATTAGATTCTGTAGGCCTCAACCCTGAATTGT